AATGGTATGGCGCTATCTGATTCTTCCATTCAGAATGGGTAGCGGCTACATTGCTGACTGGTATACTCGTCATCTTGTCGATTTTGGGCAGCCGTCAACGTGCCGCTATGCCCCCCTCCCCAGCTGGGAGAAACCGAGAAGCAGGTTCTGATCGCCGACTTTATGCAGTCTGCCTCAGTTTCTCCGCGCGCCTTCTGTTAACCCGGGCGGGCAACGACAGATCTGATATAGTGCTCGATGGTCTCAACGCTACTGAGAGAAAGGCCACAAAGTTTTACGGGGGATTTCGCCACGGTACCCAGCTATGTTCTTTCCTCAACAGGACTTGGGGCCGTCGCAGTTGCTTCCATCGTATACTCCGGAAAATGTCAACAACATAAAAACTGAGGAAGGTGTGCCGCTTGTCAACAAATTGTACAATCTAGAACCGATGTTTAGGCAGGAAGGTTAGAATTACCTATAACACGCGACAGAAAAATTTGTAGCAAACTGTTTTCAGTGCGGTGGTAATTACCTTTGACGACGATCCAATGCGCTAGATACGTTTGAGCGGTCCCACTGGTGCAGATCAATCGGTTACAGATTACTCGGCGAAATTACAGCTGGAAAACTTTACTCGAGGGTGCCAGAAAAGGCGTTAAATGAATATACCGAAGGGAACACTATAAATTTTTCCTCTGGAAAAATAAAAAAACTAAAGCTTTCTCTATTCGATCACTACTAAAACGAGACGACAAGCGACTTGTCAACATACTGTTTAGGAGACTGCCAAATTCATAAAGAAAAAATCGAGATGCAGACCAAAAACATTCATGTCTGTAATGGTTGTCTAGAATGAACTAACAACGATTAAATTGTGGCTTGCGATCATATCTGACACTGCGCAGTGGCAAATCACTTGGAACACTTGGACCGGCCCGTAATTGACAACGATCGCGCCAGCTCCAACAGGTTCGCCATTCCTCAAGGCTTCTAACTCTCTCTCTGCAATTGCAGCCTTCCTGATCCCTGATATAATCTTCCCATTGTCGTGGTGGGCTATCAAGTGGCCAAGTCCGCCCGTGAGTATACCAGTTTACAATCATCGCAGAACATCCCCCGTCGGTGAATCGATCAACGTGTCCGGTCCGCGGCACTTTCTTTCTGCCTTCAACGGCAGTTAATTCAGTCCTATCTGCTGTTTGATCCCCGTCATGTTGGGGATGAGATCGCGACGTGAGATTCCTAACATTCCTATTTCCATGGTTCTCTCGATGACAGATAGCTGGCACTCTTCGGCTTTAGTAAGTGATCACTTCGTACAGCTATAAAACATTGCCAACAGGATGGCAGAATTGAAAAAAACGGAGGAGGGAACCTTTCCCGATGTTGCCGAGGAAGACGCCCTTGAAGGAATGGAACGCACGACAACCGATCCTCTGTATTCGTTGAATTTCTTCAGTCTACTAATGCTGCACGCTGATCTCTCGGCCCAGTGGCAAAAACCGACAAAAAGCGCAGAAATGCCACTTTGCTGCATCAGATAAATCAATCAAGGTAATTGAATTTGTAATTCTGATGAAGAAAAGAAGTTCAGGTGCCAGCTTTTCATTTTAAGAACATAATTTTTCCTCGAAAGCAATGCTGATTTTTAAGCCTACTTTCACTCATGCTAAACAGCGACGCTTGGCACTTTTATGGAATTCCATTTATGCTTTGTATACGGCAAAACACCAAAATACATATTGCAAGGGCCAATAAATACAAGTTGTAGACAAAAGTTTGAATTCCACACTTCTGTGTCAATATTGCCTATATGGTATTCACAGTCGAACTGTGGGTCTCACTTGAACAATGAACTCCTATGAGAATCAGTTGATAATCGTTCCATCAACAAAACACGTTAGCGTAATGCAAATATTATTTACAACGGTTTTGCGTAGTTGTCTTACAAGAAAAGCATATTAACGTCGCAAATAGCGGCGTACATTAATTCTTATTAACTGTTAACTCCACTGAGCAAGGAACTCACATCCCTGGTAGTAGGTACAACCAGCTGACAAAGGGATAACAAGTCCATGCCATGTGAACTGTAGAGGCGGCATGATGCTAGTTCTGACGTGGTCATGCAACAGCAAAGGACAGTTATGACCACACTGCCTAAAGTGCGCGCTTTACGGCTGCAATTCGCCTTGATCAATTAGTACAATGTGAGGTGAAAACGGTAAATCTAAATTTTAAAATTTATAAAATTAGGTCAGATGAACGTTAAGCGCTATACTGTTTCAACCAAATCAACAATTTTAACCATGTCAGGTTTTCATTACTAATAGAATAATAAAGATTTTTTGAAAACAAAAAACTGTCAAACACTATTAAATGAATATTAATCTTACTCGTGCTACTACGTCTAAAAATCGAAAAACCTATAGGCATCAGACAATTTAAGGTGACCTGAAGAACACGGAGAAAATATGCTGCCCAGCCACAGATGAAAAGATAAGATCAGCAAACATGCTAAGGAAAAGAAATATACTGGACGTAATGTTATTAAGACCTCCGATTTCCACCGCAAATTACAGTCCCCTTTTAAAACAAAACGCGGTTTTGAACGAAAAGAACTAAGAATCTTCATAAAAATGCCAAATGACCTGAACATATGACCTGCGAATATCTTATTCAAATTTCGTCACAAGGGCATCATGATATTTTAACCAATTTCTTGTAGAGATCGCGTAAGTAACTGAAATTATTCAGGCGACTCACAGTTTGCAGCAAATCGAAAATAACTACAGATCCGAATGCAACAAACGCTCAAAGCAAATATTTAATACTCTAAACGATAAGTCAGAAAAGATCAGACCAACCTGATATAAATGATAACGATGATGATAATTTAAAATATTGCGCGCATCTAAAAGTAATCTTATCACAAACAGACGGATGGTAGATACACTTTTCACCATTTTCGCTGCAGAAAAATATGGATAATACCCTTACTATCTGTTTCTGAACCTTCCGGATAGACTCGGTTAAAGTCATGAAAAAACTCGTCAGTTCGGCCTTAACCGGTTGCTTCAAGGCTGACGACAATGTCAAGAAGTGCCAATACAGCAAAATAGTTTAACTCCATTCTGAGTGCAAAATCTCTCAGGAAAATTCATAAAGTATATGGAAAAATAAGTTCGAACTATAGAGCCACTGATCTACAATACAAACCACTGGATACTGTCGTCTCTTAATTAGCTTACCTGGTTGCGAAGCAGAGTAGCAGGATGCCTGAGCGTCTCATAAATGTTGTGGGCAGGCGGCTTCCTTGGATTAGTACTGGGGGTGTGAACGGCGCAACATTTAATGAACAACGCCATGAACAGAATCAACGCAATAGCGATCAAAACGACTGCCCACCAATTATCCTAAAATGGCTGAACTGAAAATAATTTGGTACAACAACAACAAGTAACAAACACAAGCGCATCTAAACATGACTGCCTCGTATACTAGCAATAAACGCACCAGTGAACACTGTACCGACCCAGTACAAAACTGCTGAGGCTTTCCCATGTCTGCACACTAGCGTAACAGCTCTGTCCGGAAATTCCACAAAAGTAACGTGTTGTCTGATTAAAGGTTCCCTGCTGCATGGCATGACTTAGTACTGGAGTATAGTTGTCTTTACAACCGCAGTGAATACAGTTTCACGGTCTTAAAATTAGGTGTCTTTAGCATAGAAACATGCAAGAGAACCTGCAGTCTTCCCAGAAATATAAAAATGTTTAATTCTTCACACGAAATTCACTTACTAGCGATGCTTTCGTGGTGAGAGATCTGAAAGGCCAAGTGTACATAAACAAAATCAAGTGAAGCCAGTGGGTAGGTGATCACACCTCACGTCTCCAATGTCTGAAAACGGCTTCGCACGTGGGGCATAATCAATAACTGGAGGTGGTGCAGGTTTCGCTGTACATGCGGATTAACTACAAAGTTCTTGTAATTTAATTCCACCGCCTCATAAACCTAAGAATTTTAAGAGTTTATGGTTTGAGCCATTGGCATTAAGTTTACGGGAGTAAACAGATAAGAATCTTCTAAAACTCAGCCGAAATTCTACTATCTTTTTTAAATTAATCTAGCTGAACACCTGGAAAGTTTGATTACACGAAACAATGTAATAAAAAGGACAGACATGAATTATGCCAAACGAACTCTCACAAAAGGTTCTGTTCCACGTTCACGTGCAATTAATCAGCGACGAGAAACTCAACTGACAAACAAAGATCAAACGATCAGGGGACGAAAGGAATACTGTAAGGAACTATCCTAAATATTCGTGAAGCAGTCGCGCATTCTCTGTTGGAAGGTTACATCAGAGGTTCAAAAATTATAGAAAGGTCAATCCCAAATTTACGATCTGCAGAATACGAACTAATTACAACTCTCAGAGTAAATCAACATCGCCAGCACAGTTTGGTTCAAAGTCAAACCTGAATAAAACTAAAGTGATAACAATCACCGCGAAATACATTGCAGCAAGAATTACAGTCGGGCTGAACTGTATCAAGTCAACGTCTTACCATATTTCGGCTCGATGCTGAAAGGAAACGGGGACTGAAAGAATGAGATTCGCAAACTCATAAGACTGGTAAAAGTTTGCGCGGCAATGCAGGGCCAGAATATGGGGAAATCTCGGCATTCAGAACTTCACCGCGCTGAGGCTAATCGGATCTCTGACTTGGTCAGTCGAAAAACTACGGATATAAAACCTGGCCATCACGGAAGTAGATGCAAGTCTACTGAAGCGTTTGAGATATGGTATTAAAAGCGACTATTAAGAATCTCCTGGAAAGATTGCAAGATGGATGAATGTGCGTTAGAACAACTGAGTACCGAACGCTGGCTGTTTAAAAAAGTGCAGGAGCGAAAACCACGATACTCTGGCTAGATCAAGGGAAGGACGGTGAGTGTCATGAGAAAATGGTATACAGTTATGTACTATAAAGGCGAGGCAAAGAGTAAAACCGTGAAGACATGAGATCGAAAAAACATAATATAATGGACAGAAATTGACATCATTCAGACAACAAAGATAGCATAAGAGCGTGAGAAGTGGCGTGAAATAGCATATCTTGCTGCCAATCCCCTGTATACAAGAACATTATTTGACCGTTCAGTGTTTTATTTTCAAGGTGAAAATTTTTACGCTTTCAAGATCAACTGATGTGCAAAGAGAATAGAAACTTACCTGCACCCAGTCAGCAACAGTTCTGAAAGTTTCGCTATTAAAAAATAAGTTCTTAAGTCGAGACAATGGCCCATTTGCATCGACAGATCGACATTTCTGAAATATGTCACAGTAGCCACGGTAATCATTGCATGGCGAGCCAGGCCGCAACAGGACCCCTTTACGATCTCCGCTGACATCGTAAAAGCTGCGAAATTCTTTTATGTTGTAGCTAGCAATGCAAGGACTGTCGACACCTAAAAACAAGCTGAAAAAGAGGTAATTCTAGTCATCCTTACTGTGCTTCTTCCTGCAAGCCAACACGCATTGTTCCGTCGGTGAACCATCTGAAAGAAAGCATTCTTCCATGTCGAACAATTCGCATACCGACTTATTACAAGTCTAAACAAAACAAAAGAAGATTCAACTAGCAAGAATCTGTGTAGCGATGCTACCCCAGCGTCACAGATTTTCGTGTTATCTTGACAAACGGTTCGATCTGACTTAGGTTTTGACATTGGACAACTTGCTCGCAAACCATCGCACATCTGAGTCTCGCTGCACTCCGATGCTTCACGGCAAACCCTGTCGAGAGGAGGAATGAACTTACAGGTAGAGCTGTTGCAACAGACGCCTTCAGATGGACTGCAAAGTAAATAATACACAATAAACAACAATGCAATAAGTTGATTTTAACCACAAAGCTGCAAACTATCTTACTTCATTAGGAACGATTCTTTAAATATATCGTTCACCATATTATAACTGCTACGTAGAAAACTGAATATATTCTTTTGTTCAGCAAATAGTGATCATAAATTATTCACGTTTGACTAATACAAAGGCTTAAGGGCAGCATTAAATGTAGCCAATCTAACATATGCTGATTACAAAATGAAAATCTAAACAACGTCTGCATCCGTTTCCAAAAACTAAATCTTCACTTGTTTTGAAAAACAAGCACATGGTCGATATATTTATACTTGCAAATTTACTATCATCTGAAAGAATTTAGAGAGAAGAATGAGTCTTATCAAGATGCCGAAGTTCCTTTAGTTAAAAAGTTACTAATGAAACAGAATTAAGTCAAGGTCATATACGATTAACCTTGTTCTACCGCCTGTTTAAACGGATATTAAATAACGGTTCAGATATTATGACGCTGCTCAAAAAATGCTGGCAATAAAAAATGCACATCCTCAGAATGATTGCAACATAACTAGAGCCAGCGACAAAATGATAATTTTCTGTCATGAAACAAACGGTGCCTACCTGCATTCAGCCCACGGAGTACGCGTGCAGCCTTTAACTTCACCGACATGTGATCGCGGGTAACAACAAGAATCGCTTCGCTCGCGACACTCTTCGTCGTTGAAGCCGCAGTCACATTCTTCCCCATCTTCGACCATAGCGTTACCGCAAAACGATGTCTCCCGTACTAAGCATGTGGCAGTGCAAATATGACCAGCATAGTGTAAAGTCAAAGCGACGTACGAATGAAGCAGTTGCGTTTGGCACCCACGTAGTGAGTGTTTGGATTCTGACGCAAAACTTCCTTCAGCACTGACGAGATATTATTTACGGAGCATGTGGAAAACCTTGCGTTGTTTGCTTTGTCGCCGGAAGTGGCAGATGCGAACATGATAAAATTGCCTTCGGGCAAACCGGGCTGACAGTACGATGGAAAATCATGCTACAATCA